CTGTCGCCTGCCAAAATAGAGAACAGACGATAGAAATAGCGATGCCCCCTCCTGCCCCTCCCTCCCGCCCCCCTGAGGTCACCCATGAGCGGTCGGGGCGGGGGCGCCCTGGGCTAGGCGTGACTGCCCGCTGTTGCATAACGTATGCGTTGGGGACAACCCCCCGCCCCCTTGATACCTCCTCCTCCTGCCAGAGCGCTGCCTTTGAAAACTTTTGCTAACTGGACAGCCCCCCTCCTCCTCCTCCCTCCCGCCAAACTCTCTCTAGTAAACCAACCAGGAGGGGGGAAGGATATCGCCTTGCTGCACAGCCAAGCCCGGGGCCCCAGGGCCCCCTCCGGGAGGTGCCCCACCCTCGTGCCAAGGACACGACCCCCGGGCGCGCGCGGGGGGCTGCCCGACGACAACATGCACCTGCTGCTGCTGCTCTGCTTGCAGCGCCTCGCGATCAATGGGAAACCAACTCAACTCGTCACGTCGGACTTTTGTTCCCCCCCCCCCCCTTGCGTCCGCCGACGAACGTTTATTCCACGTCGTTCACGAATCTCTTCCCCCATTTCCCCATTCCTCTGGCACCCTGCACCCTGCCCCCCCCCCCTCTCTGTCATTGTCGCGTGCTCGTGCTCACACACGCGTAGGTACGTTCAGGTCCAGTCGGAGATAATTTATTTTGGCAGTGACGCAGCTGTACGCCCGCCCCCCATATTGATGATCTCTCTCTCTCTCTCTCTCTCTCTGCGTCAGCCCCTCTCACTATCTCTCTCTCCCCATCGCCCTGCACAACTCCGGTAGCGATCTGCCTGATTTGCGTCCTTGGCTCCTCCAAACTCCAGGAGGCCTGAACCTGGAACTTTTCTCCAGTATTCGTCTCGCCTGCTCCACCGCCGTCTGTCTCCAGGAGGTGAAACCCGCAGCGCACACAGCCTCACGGCGCGCGCTAAGTGTCTGGCCAAACAGAAAAAAAAAGTTTTGGGCAAACAGAGCAGCTCAAAGCAAAGCTGCCATGGCATTCCACAAAGACAGTGGCGCGGGCAAAGCGCGACCAAGGATTATTCCGAAAGCTGCCCAAGTGGTGGGTGCAGCAAAAGGGAAATAAAAAAAAATGGGGTTCAAAAAAGTATTCGTGGAGAGGAAAAACTTTCCCGCTCTACACGCATCCGTCATAAGGCGACAAGTTTCCGGCTCAGGTGCTCCGGCGCGGTGAACAATAGTGAGTTGCCCTTATGTGCTCGGGCGGGACCAACAAGACAAAATTGATGGTCGTTTCGTTGGTGGCCAAGGGGAAGAGAGTGGTGGATGTGACATGTGGTCACCCGGTGCAGTTGATCACGCAGCCATTGGTCATCCGGTGGTCACCCGGCGGCGGCGCGGGCCGTCACCCGACCGGCGGGCAACGCTTTGGTCAGTCGCCTTGCGTGGTGTTTGCTCTGCTATCCTTCACCCACTTCTCTCTCAAGTGACAGTTCTCAGAAAAAAAAATGACGGTCGGCCTCGGAGAGGCTAGCGAAGCAGGGTGACAGAAATAATTTAAAAATACCTTTAAAAATGACGACTAATAAAGGTTGTTCTTTTTAACAGGTAGTTATAAAAACTTACCAAATTTCTTAAATAGTGACTAAAAACAAGTTTCCACGGGGTCTATAAGTCCTCTACGAAACATTATCGAGGACCACAGTTAATTACTTTTAGAAAAATCTCAACGCGAGGAAGCGAAACGTAACGTCATGCATGACATGTTGAACGTATTCAACTATTCGTCACTTGAGTAACATTCTGTTGGGCACACGGCGCCGTACCGTAACTGTCTCGTCACCGGGTCCAGCGTGCAGTTGCCCGCGTTTTTCCGCGAGTGTTTCACGTTCAACGTCAGGCGTTACCGCCAACACTCGACTCGTCACGTTCCCGTCACTCGACTCGTCACGTTACTCGGTACACCGTTTCGTCGCGTTACCGTCACGCGTGTAACTCGCCGCGTTACTTGTTACCCCGCCGCGGGGCGAGGGTCTCTGGCGGCGCGCACGACGCTGGTCCGGACGAGACTGCCGGCCTGGAGGAGGGAGAGGCCGCGGCGGGGGCAGCGTACGGCGGGGAGCCGGCGGGGGGCGGG